AGGACCAGTTACAGATTTGCCAAAAAGTGGTAAAATTCATTAAACAAATCTCCCTGCCCTCTACCCTAAGAAGAACTGTTTCCAAACTTCTTTGGTAATTGTTACAGATTTGAGGGTAAGAAGAGATAAAATCTGAATTGAGATTTTTGTTGACTAATACAAAGCAGACACCAACAATTTCTCTCACCCAAAGGGTGGAGTCTGTTCCTCCTGAATTTGGCTGGCTTTGTAACCTGCTCTGACCAACAGAAGGCTGTGTAAGTGCCAGTTCTGGGCCTAGGCTTTAAAAGACCTGGCAGATTCCACTTTTACTCTTCAGGGATCCAGCCACCATATAAAGTTGTTTGGGACAGACTACCAAATGAGTGACCTATAGCAGCCCTTTGCTATTCTGGCCACCCGGCTGAAGGGCCAGACAAGGAAATGAAGCTATCAAGTGCACTCCAGTCCCTAGTCAAGTTCCCAGAAAAAAGAGCCACATACAAGACCCCAGCTTATACCATGCAGGCAGGAACCAACCAGCTGAAATCAGCTGACCTACATAACTGTAAGAAAAAAACAAATCATTGTTTCAAATGATTATATTTTGGGGTAGCTGTACCACACTCTCACCATCTGTTCTGCTCCTATCAACTTTTTCGAGCATTTTAAGTATATGAGGAGAGAGAATATAGGAAAATAAATCAGCCAGGCAAGGTGGCACACACATGTAATCCCAGCACTCAGGAGACTGAGGCAGGGGAATCATGAGCTTGAGGCCTGCGTAGGCTATAAAGCAAGCTGAAAGCCAGCCGACATTACATACTAAGACCCTCTCTCTCTCAAAAAAAAAATCTCTAGAGAAGAGAAAAACAATAAATTAACACTAAGTATAAATAAAGATTAGACTGACAAATTGTTAGGTCGCATTTGTAAGTTATTATTAATGCCTTCTATGAAGGAATATATTCATTACAAACTTTATCTGCCACTTGTTTCTTTTCTGCCATCATTGTAGATGTTTAAGTTAAAGAAACTTCTACTAAAATCCACTTGTGCTTTACAGACCCTAATGTAAACCCATGTAAAGCAATCAAGGCAAACCTCGCATAGTCATACAACTATACAATGCCTAACCTTTATACTAAAGTACTTCAGCCAAAGCATAAGAAATTACAAAAATCACAACCCTGCAGTACAGAAATAATAAGACAATGCCTTTCACAATAGTCTTCAGGTTAGAAAACTTGCTGTGTATTTTAAAGATGACAATCTGCACATCCTAAAGCTTGTAAAATAAGCCTTGAGAGTACCTTAAAGTTGCAAGTATAGAAAATCTAATTCCCACATAATACTAAGTTGGTTTGAGTATTAGATTTTTCTGTTTTCACTTCCATTTAAATATTTATTCATATAATATCTATAAACGGCAAATCCCTTATGTGAACTTCTCTTAACAGTTCCCCATGAAGGAACTAAAATGATCACCAGGCGTCAATGAAAGATTAAGGTAGTCCTTCTCCCTGGGCATGAGAGTTAAATTGACAGGCAAAAAACAAAAAAACTTTCCTCTTTGAAAAAACGTGCAAACTGTCCCATTTAAACCTTCATTCAGAAAAAGCTTCTAACTTTTTTCCTTGAAAAATGGAAAGAAAATTTTTAGCACGCATTGCTAGCAAGATCTGTTATAAACGCCAAGACAGGCAGTGTTCAGTGATCCAGCCATTCAGTGGAACTGAGCAAGAATTTACATTCTGCTTCAAATGAGCCGGGTATAATGAAGCTTCCTACATTCTAGGTATTTCACTACTCAATTGTCAGTACATAACCACTTTCAAGGGCTATAATATAGAAAGAAATTTCTACAGAGCGTGGGAGTATGAAATTTCAAATATTTTCCTCCAGCTTTTAAACACTTTCCATCTTAGAAGTTCAATTCACGACACTTCTTGGAAAGGTACACACATGAAATCTCTTTCAGAAACAGCAGAACCCCAAAACAGGTCTGTGCTGATGTGATGGCTGGGTGGCTCCTCGCACTATCACCCTGTAATGATATGGACACACACGCTAATACGCTTTTTGGAGTACCTGTCTCTTCCATATTGTGAGATCCTCGGGGACAGGGGAATGAATACGTTTTACTCCCTTTTCATACTTACAAGAAACAGCAATGTGCAGGGCATGTGGGACTTACTCATGTGAGAGGTTTCGATAAAGTTTGCCGAATAACAGGAATGAAACATCAGTGAGAGCTCTTTATGATGATAAGCACTACTTCTTATGAATTGGCAACATTTTAGATTAAAGATGGTCTATTTTACAGACATAGGCAAATAATTCCTGTAATAAATTCAAATGTACATTTCCAACTATATATACTCAATTTAAAGTTAGCTACAGTTGCTACCTTCTGTATACCCTGTTTCTACCTTTCTAGGCTTCTGTTATTGCTAATCTGGTTCTTGATACTGTCTGGGACTGAGAATTATGACAATCCGGAAGTGCTAAGAATGGAGAAAGTCTAAGAAGACACTGCCCAAGAATGACATGAGACAAAGCTGAAACCAGATCTTCAGGTATTACTACTATTGTTTCTGGAAGAAGCAATACTAGAAACGCTCATATTATTTTTTCTGTAAGATGAACATATGTGCAAACATAAATGTACCTATATAGGGTACAAATTAACTATTTAAACCAAGGATAAGAAACAAAAAATGAACAAAAGAAGGTTGTTGGGCAGCCAAAACAGTGGCTACAAAGCTCACATATTAATAGTAACAAAATGGTCAGCAGAACCAACCAAGCCAATTCCATTGTTTTATATTCAATTTCAGGAAGCAGAGTGATCTGAGTTTCTTCTACTCTATAGACCAGAAGCTGTAGAACTTTCCAACTCCTGAAAGAGATAGGCTTACTAATAAGCAGATTCAAAAAATTAAAAAAGCAGAGGGGGCAGTCATTCAAACTCTTACTCAATTACTGTCAGTAAGGGGTGCTAGTAATCATAACTTTGGACAATAAAAGAAATGGTTAAACTATACGTTTAAAAAGTAATTTACAAATTGTAAGAACTTTTCCATAAAGAGTACAGCTAAAATAATTCTGCATGTACTTTATTTCCCACCAGCACCAGATAAATGAGACATGCAGCAGGTCAACATTTGAGAGACCAAATGATAGACTTTTTTTTTTTTTTGGTACTGGGGATTGAAGCCGGGTCCTTGCACTTGCAAGGCAGGCCACCAAACCGCTGAGCTAAATCCCTAGCCCTCCAAATGATAGACTTTATTGCCTATCCTGTTCTTGGTTCTATCCTCTTTACACACTCATAATTTCACATTCCTTGACCGCCTTTTATAAATACCCAAATTAGCACCCTCTACTCTCAAGGGGCTGTTACCTTGCCACAAAGTACAGATCTCAAACATACACCAAAGTTCAATGCCCCTTTTTTTGCACCAGCCCCTGATCTCTATCTCTTACTGGGATGACAGATGTACTCTCAAAATTCTCTAGGTCGACAGGCACTTCTTTTTTGTTTCCATTAAGAAAAAGAAATGAAAAGTAAGGTCTCTGCATTACATTCTCTTTTAGGCAGCTCTAGCTGTCATGCTGACATTATTAAGTTGGTCAAAGCTGGTTTCAGTAGCAAAGTAAGGCCCACACTAATGAACTCACTAGTCCTTGGAGATTACAGAGGCAGATTAAGGAGGGAAGAGAGAAGGAGGATCTTCTAGAAAACCCACCTTCAATTTAAGGACAAGAGATGAAAAGTTGATGCTACTGATAGGACCATTACCAAGAGTTCTAACAGAACATTTTCAAAAGGAATCTGAAACATATTTTCTTGGCTTTTTATTTTCTTTTTATAAAGACTAAATGATTAAAATTTTGCACTAGGATATTTCTGCTTCCCTCATTATTTTGCATTTATTAATTCAACAAACAAGCATTTCCTGCACACCTACTATGCACTAGCCACTATTAGGTGCATTAACTATTATAACAAAATGTAGAATCTCACAGCTCCCACCCCAAACCATAAAACCACTTGGCTTTCTGTTCCACAGCAACCTGGTTTAGAAGGTTCTTTTGGTAGGCAAAGGTGGAGCACTTATGCAACACCAGCACTTGGGAGGCTGAGGCAAGAGAGTTTGAGGCCAGTGTGGGCTACACAGCAAGACCCAGTCTTAAAAAAAAAAATCCTTTTTACTGTTTGTAACTATGAGCACAGAATACAAACAGCAGTCTCTTGCTTCTAGTATGATATGGTAGCTAGCAATCACCAAGAGACAACTACTTGCTACCTATTTTAAAAAGTTATCAATTTAAGAGCTGAAATTTCTGGTTTCAAGGTTTATACCACTGAAACAACAGTCACACAAAGTGTAGAAAGCTGAAGTCTGCCCTGAAAGCAAAGGAAACAAAATTTCATTTAGGTATTCAAGATTCCAAGGTCACAAAAATTAATTTAGGGCAGGGAATATAGCTCAGTGGCATAGTACTTCCCTGGCAAGGGCAAGGTCCAGAGTTCGATTTCCAGTACCAATGAAAAAAAATTAATTTAATATAATTTAATTTTAGATTCTTACTGAAACTAGGCAAATAATCAGGCATCTTTACTACCTATACCTCAGTTTCTCAATGATGTATCTAGGTGATAAATATAGGTGGACGTGCTCTAAGCTTAGCCCAAAGGTCCTGCGTAAATTCAAGCAAAGTCCATAATACAGAAGCATACTGAGGTCACCAGTCCAATTTAAAAAAATCAGCCATGAGAAAATTTATGCACGACTTTACAAGGATTATAGGCATGGTTAACAAACAGCAATTTTAACTTTAACCAGCTACAGATCTAGAATATCCTAGACTTTAATAGCTAGATCCTTCCTTCCAGGTGAGAAATCAAACTTCCAGAAGGAAACTAGTAGTGTGAGGATGATACTGACATCTGGCCCTAGATCCTAGCGGCAGTATAAAGAATCTCTCCTCTTCCAAAATTAAAAACTCCTTACCCATATCGACGTGGTCGTGGCCTGTAAAATTTTGGACGAATTCCACGATGAGCATCCATACCCTGCCCTTCCACTTTCCATCTACAGTAACATCTTTCTGCTTCTCTTCCTATCTGGAGACTGGTAACAGAAGGCTGATTAAAATGACTCTCTCATCAGACCCCAATCAAGGTCACTGCCTGACAACTTCACGTTCATCACTAATGGCAACGTTTCGGCTCGCTCTGAATCGCCGGCTACCACACCCGGAAATGAAATCTCGAGGACAACCCACTCTGGACAATCATATCACATTTCCTTAAGTTGTGCCCCACTAAGAGCGCCAGGTGCATGATCCCGAAGAGCGCGCGGGCCACGGGCAAGGTTGTCCTCGCCTCCAGCCTCGGGCCTGCGGGTCACTCGTGCTACTCGGCCACGAGGCGGGCCCGG